TCAGAGAATCTCATATTGTTTACTGTTAGGGATTTTTTCAATAATTTCCCCTACGAGCATCTAGTTTCAAATGTTTAATCATTTTGAGATTATGTCATACATAACAAATTGTACAGATTGACAAAAAAACTAATATTCCCCTGAACCTTGCCACTGACATTTGTCTTCAAACTGGATTATTCAATGGAACACACTGCTCAAGTATTAGTTCAAGCACAGAACTATTCTTCAAGTCAAAAATTGCTTAATAATACTTTATCCTATCTTGGTTAAAAACAACCAAAATATGCCCAACTCAAGACCAAAAACTACTCATTTCTTTTTGCTTTGCAGTGTTATAGAATCCTTTCGGCCGATTTCTCTTTTCACCTCTTTAGTCACACTAAACCCGGCGCGGGTCAGACAGACTAACAGACGTGTGGGCTGTTTTATAGGAAAAAGCATGAGCCAAGATCAAGACGGAGCGTTTCTTCTTTCCGCCCACCTCAGCATCAGCTCGCAGCCACAGCTCCCACTCAAGCCAATAATTAATAGCTGTCATGGCCGCCAGGATCAATATCAACTCATTACGTGTGTTTGCACAACCTTGCCTCTAAATATACATACATAGCCCCATAAGAATGCATACATTTATAACCACAGTGCAATCGATTCAGAGGGAAAAAGTCTTTCTACAACTCCAGGTTTTGTTGGTCAGGCAGATTTCCATAATGCCTGTTGAGTTTTGATGCATTTCACCAAGATGGGGAAAAATCAATAAGAGGTACGCCAGGCACTTAGTTGTGTGGTCATTGCTGTTAAAGCCGTGAGGTTGTACGGTCAGATTTGTAAGTGAATCGATCGATAAAAAGAAGGCTGGAGAAAAGCGCTGCGCAAAGACAATATTTCGACAATGTATCTTCCAGGAGGTTCCAGGGAAATAGGCACGCAAGGATTCATTACCAAGAAAATATATTGATTGATATTGATTTTGTGAAATGGGGGTATAACAATATTGATGTTCTCACAGACCAATTAGTAAAATGGAGTGGACAGCATTCTCGCTTCTCAGCAAGAAGGTTCTGGGTTCGAATCTTGGTCGTGACAGGGCCTTTTTGAGGGCCTTTCCTTTTTTTCTTTATTATAAAATGTATTTTTATCTTTGGAAACATGTGACCTAAGTTGTAATGTATATAATGACTGAATAAATAAGTCATTATATACATGACAGATATGTATATCTGTCATGCTACTACTGCACTGTCGCAACCAAATTAACAATAAATTAATAAATTAATATAAATTGTGCCGTTTTGGATCAGAATTTGCATCCCCATCATTAGTCAATTCCATATAGTTAAGACTCAGGCTCAAAGCTGATTTAATGAATTTCCCCTCGTAGAAAATCGAAACATTTTCTTTATTTACTGATTTGCTATCAGGGCCTATGTGTCCTTAACAAAGTCTACTCTAAATAAATACAATTTTTTTTATTGAAATACCATATTGTAAGTTTAGTGCTGTCAGTTAAGCAAATACATTTGTAACATCCCTTGTTTGGCTGTGAGCATTTGGATGTTACATAACAAGCTAGATTGTCGATTGCGGTAGACAAAAAGAAGAAAACTGTGTGGAGCATTGTTGAATAGAACACAGCCTCCGCGATTGTAGCGTGTGATAACAACTGTGCCATATTGAAGCAGACAGGAGGACCGTGGAGCTGTGAACTCCTGCAGGCAGACACAGCATGGGCCAAGAGATCAAGGCCGAGGAGGAGGAACGAAGCTCTCAGGGGCTGCTTATGGGAAACTGTGAGAACATGCAATGACATCCTGCACTTTTCATTCATCTTCATACCTTTTACCATGGTTCCAATAAGCTTTATTATCGTGCATTTGCTAAACTGGAAAAAACAGACACAAAACTTAGACGTTTTCTTATGTGATCATCCACAATATTTGAGCTGTTGTGTGTGGGTTGTCTGAGGGGGTTGAGTTGATGAGAACGGCTTGTTGAGCTGCAAGATTAATCTCGAGCGTAATAGCAATTTTTTGTGGTCTCAATTAACAGAAAACATGAATAGTACATATAAAATAGGCTTCTCTTCTATGTTAAATCATGCAGGTGAAACTTAGAAAATTAGAAAATCATTGAAAAATCCATTTACTTTGAAATTAATACTGTATATGACTCATTAGACACTAAGTGAGAAATATCAAGCCTTAATTTCTTATAATGCTGATTACTGGCACCAAATAAAACCTCACAAAAAATCTGAATAATGTGATATAGAGCTGTTAGCCATAGACCTATATGTTTTATATATACATATTTCTGTATCTTTATGTGTTTTTATTGCTCACTTTGGTAAGCCTAGGAAGTTAAAATATGCTCTACAGATTCTGCTTTCTTGTTTGCCACGTGACACTATCAAGATGAATTACAGAAATAAATGATCTTATGAAACGTGTCCGTCCAAGATGAGTTCCTGCAGGATTTGAGCTGTGTATCAATTAGCAGCTAAAGGAGGCGAATCTCTATTGTTCTGTAAATAGCTGAAGCGTTTGTGGTTTGCATTTCAACATCAGGCCTCTGCCTCAGTCTCATCAGTTAGTAAGTAAGTAATGTTTATTTATATGGCGCATTTACAGAACAAGGTCACCCAAAGCGTGTTACAATGTTCAGAAATCAAATATATTTTTCCTTCCTCACACAGTGATAGCAAGATAACCAACACAATTCATTCAATCACTCATTACAATTATAACTATAGTGGTAGGAAAAACCGGAGCACCTCAAGGAAACCTACGCAAAAACAGGGAGACCATGTAAACTCCACTCAGAAAGGCCCTGTTCCGACCAGGATTCGAACCCAGGACCTTCTTGCAGAGTGCTTTCCACTCAGCCACCCTGCCGCCCATTAGTCCAGGTCTTTCCCCCAGTCCAGTCCATAATGCACAGGCTTTTGAAAACATTAGAGCACCACTCTCCCAGTTATAATTTTTGTTTGCAGCAGGCGTGTGACAGTGATGTATTCGCACCGCTGAAACCTCCAGACCTTTTCATTTATAACTCTCCTCTTGGCTCCAAACTACTTCAAAATAACACCCTTTTCTTCAAATCCATCTTACTGTCTGCACTGCAACAACATCACATGGAAAATAACTTGAATTGATATGTTGTGAGTTGTCTTGGCGAAACTAGTGACAAACAATTCACCCTATAAAGAAGTGTTTGTAAATTTGCTGGACTATTTAGTGCTCCTGTAAATATACCACACCAGCTAATTTTGAAAAGAAAATACATTTCATCCACACATAGGCCAATATTTAATTATTATTGTATACAGTATTTTTAAGTTTTTTGCCTTGGTCAAAATGTCATAGTTAAAAAAACATAACAAGACAACAATTAAACTGCAAAGGACAAAATGACATAAAAAAAAGAAAAAATACAAACTATAAAATAAAAGATATGTATTAAAAAGAGGAATAATAATAACAACAATACTAATAATAAACTAAAGAGGTGGAAAAAAGACAAAAAAAGCTTCCATACACGCAACAACAAAGACACCCATTTTCCTCCACAAAATGTAATATTAGTCGTGGGTTTTTAAATAGTAATGTAAGACTTAACCAACAGCTGTGATGAAAAAGTAGCACACATAACGTCTTTTAATTCCATTTTAAACCATTAACAAGTGGGATTTTTTTGACATACACTTGTTTCCTTGTGCCTGAATTCTTCCAGTAAATCATTGGCCACATTAATGCTACATACAGCTCTAATAGTTTTGGCATCGCAGACAAAAAGCTTTCAGACCTGATCCATCTGTCGCGGCATCTTGTGTAATAGCTTTTATCTCGATGTAGTGATATTGATAAAGACTTTTTCTCACAGACAGTCGTAACAGTTTTGGACTTGTACTTCATGCTTAGATAGATATTCACACTTCAGATTCATTGGGTGCGTGTTTGATGGAACTAAGAAAAGCCTCTGTTATTTATTGCATTTGAATTCTTAAAGTCAGTATGTGGTCGTCATTTTAAATTACATCTACATCTTTTACATGTGTCCCAACATAATATGTCGACAAGGACACCAGAATTTGACAAGAATTAGACCTTTGAGTTTATCAATGACTAATTCATAATTTTAAAAAGCAATGGACATGATGGGTATAATATTAGTGGGCATAGAAATAATTAGGACAAATTAATTAAAAGCAACTTAGGTACATTTACAAAGTGTAACAAAAAGAGTAATAATACTAACATAATTAGTGGTTTTGTTATGTGGATGCTCAAAAAGGAGTGGGAAGAAGTAAATACTTTTTTAATCCCACCCCTCACTACTTCAGTCATTACTTAGGTAAAGTAAAGGCTTCCTATTAGCTCCAACGTAAGTTTAGCTCAGATTGCAATATCTTAAACATCTCGATCATAAGCAAAATAAGTTTCTAAAATATCTGGATTTTCTTTTTTTTTTTACTTAAAATCACAAGCAAAAAAATTACAAATAAAAAGATACAAATAGAAGAATAGAAGAATTACACGTTTTTTTTATTTACACATTGTATTGAAATAGTGTTTTGTGTGCTCAAACCACACAACACCATATAGCAGAACTCTTTACCTGACTGCACTACACACTAAGTAAGTAAGTAATGTTTATTTATATAGCGCATTTTACAGAGACCACAATTTACCTGTTCAGAAATTAGATATATTTTTCCGTTCACACACGGTTATGACAGAAGCGCGACGCCGAAGACACTGGTGCATCAAAGACCCAAACCAACACCATCCATTCAATCACTCATTACATTCATCCCTATTGTATGTGTTTTTAGTGGTATGGGAAACTGGAGCATCCGGAGGAAACCTACGCACACACAGGGAGAACATGTAAACTCCACTCAGAAAGGCCCTGTTCTGACCGGGATTCGAACCCAGGAGAAGCGAGAGTGCTATTCACTGATAATATATAAGCAGTATGAATGTGTGTTTGTGCTCCAGGCCCGGTACCTGCACATGAAGTACCTGTTCTTCTCGTGGCTCGCGGTGTTCGTGGGCAGCTGGATCGTCTACGTGGAGTATTCTTCTTACACTGAACTGTGCAGAGGACACGACTGCAAAAACTCTATTGTGAGTTCTGTATACTACCACAAATAAGTGATGAAAACTATGGTAAAGACACAAACAGATCACAATTTCGATTAATTTATACTACTTATTACATCTATACATTGTCTTGAAGTGCTAGAAATTAAGTCTATGTTTCTTCACTCACTTTATATTGCATTGTCATTGAATACACAGGTGAAACTCTGAAAATTAGAATATTGTTCAAATGTTCAAATGGTTAATCAATTTACAATGTGAATTTAAAACTAAGATTAAGACTAAGAGATCCTTTATTCATCCCAGAGTGGGGAAATTTCAATTTTGCATCACCGGTTACAGAACAGTAGCACACAACACAAGACAACTGAACAATAACTCTAAATAAAATAAAATAAAATCTCTAAAATCTCTAGCTTTAGCATTATAACACAACATGCAAAGTGAGATACATTTATATCAAGTTTTTATTTGTTATAATTGATGATTAGGCCTCACAGCAAAAAAAAAACAAATAAAACATTGCCAAAAATTAGAATATTTTGAGAATGGACTATATAAGCCATAATCATCAAAATTATTACAAACATACAATATTTATCAGTATGATAAAAAATGACGTTAAAAAGTCTATACATTGCACCTTCAAAACCACTTTCTGTGTGATCCAGCCAACTTCAGCTCCAACAATAAAGGCATGTTATACCACAACGTCAAGCTCAGAACCACTTTAATCCATTTATTTGTATGTACTGAGATTTGCTGTTCATTGTTCAGCTCTCACAAATGTGTATCAATATGTTGATGTTATAGCTCATTTTACATGTGGTCAATTCTAGTCTAAATAGTTTTACGATTTGTGATGTTGGCCCCTGAACAAGTCCGGTGAACTTAAGTGAACACCTCTGCTCTATAACATTTGGAGCTGTCTGCAGGAGTATGAAGAAATACAGGTGGTGTTATTGGTGTTTTCTTCTTGTTTGTAGTGTGACAAATACAGAAAGGGGGTGATTGACGGCTCGGCCTGCAGCAGCCTCTGTGAGAAGGACACTCTGTACCTGGGAAAGTGCTTCACAGTCAGACCCAACAGCCAGGTAACAAATGTGTGAATGTGACAAAAATGAATGTGAACCCATGGAGCTCTTAGAATAATCAATACAGTAAATGACTCTTCTGGCTGCCCTGGAAAAGCCATGTTCCAGCTTCTTCCCTTTGGCAGAAGATTTTGTTCGTCGTAATGCAAGATATCTCGTTTTGCTAACAGTGCACTTTAATGATCTTGCACTTGTATGAAACTGTTTTAGCTGATCAATTTCAGTGTCAATTGTATTTGTTTTTTTCCTGTACTTCTAATCTTGTTTTGTTGATGTACTTGTCTGGTCCTTCACCCATACAACAGTCACCTTTACAAGTCTCACTGACCTGAAACAATACTTTCAGTCAAGAGACGTGAATATGACATTAGCAGCAGCTCAGATTCACAGCCTTTAAGACCACACTTCCACAGGTGTCGTCAGGAGCTGTGGGAGTGAAAACCTGTAGTTTTGCTCCCTCAGCTCAGAGAGTACCTGAAGTGTCTCTGGCTAAATATATTTCACTGTGCACGCTGTGACAGACACCCAGAAAGTCCGTCTGTCTATCGCTAACTGTTTGTCATATGAGACTGACTAAACATTTCCAGAAGTGACCAAACTAAAGTAATGGAGGGATGGAAAGCGTTGTTTCTTTTCAGGCGTGCAGGGTTAGGCCACTGGCAGTTACAAGATGTGTGCGTGAATAAAAGAGGGAAAACAACGATTTTCAATAAAGCCATTATATGTTGGGGACTATTTCAACAAGCATCAAATAAAAAAAAATCTAAATAAATGCAAGCATTTATACCAAATGTAATGCATTAGGGAGTTTGGCGACAGAAGCAGTGACTTTAAAATGAGGATACAATGTTTTTAAATGAAAATGTAATGTGTATGTGGGAAAGGGCAGTAAGTAAAAAATGTTGGGCATACCGTACTGTAGAGCAGTGTTTTTCAACCTTTTTTGAGCCAAGGCACACTTTTTTCACTGAAAAAATCTTGCGGCACACCTCCAGGAGAAAATGTAAAAATGTATACAGTACTAATGTAAAAAAATATATACTGTACATACTCTGTGTGATATATAAAGTATATCGTATCTTATCTTATAATGTATACAGTATACTCTGTAGCCTATATTCACAATATACAGTTATTCTCATCAAAATGCTTAAGTCCAGGCCTTGACATTAAGCTTTATTTAATATTTCTCGATACAAATAACAAGAGTTTGGGAATAAAGTGGCACTAACTGTGTGGAAAAAAACTAAGAAAATCCACTCTCTGCCCAAATAGTCAAATAATAACTCACACAAAGAACATGCATTGTTAGTGCATGGGAAAAAATTTAGGTATCCGAGCTTTAAATTCAGGAGTTTTGGATGAGGGACACGGGAGGTCCTGAACGCGAGTCCATGGTTCTGTCCGGTCCGCATGTCTGTGGTTCTGTCCACTCGACTATGGTCTGCGCTCGGTACCCAGTTCAGAAGTGCGTTCGCGAGAGCTGTTGTACAAAAATTGTACATTTCATAGTTAAACCACTACAACGCGGCCACAGCTGCCCCGGAGCAGAGCGGAGGATGTTAATCCTGTTCAGAAACGGCATAATTCATTTCAAAAACGTCTCTATCACTTTCACTTCTCACTCGCCACAAAGCTCTTGTCTCGTTCCCTCGCTCATTTGTTGGTCGCATCCAATTTTACCTTTCTCGCCACAATGCTGACCTGTTACAGCCAGTGGTCGCATCCAATTTTTCAGTTTCAAAGTACTTAGCTATCTGCTGCCATCTACTGATTTGAAAAAGTATTACATGGTTACTCCACAGTTCAAAACAAGTCACCGCTCGTCAACAGCGAATGCAGTTATTTTTAGACAAAGTAGACGAATTTCTCACGGCACACCAGACAATATCATACGGCACACTAGTGTGCCGCGGCACAGTGGTTGAAAAACACTGCTGTAGAGGATCCGATCAGTCAGGTCGTCAAAGGGAGTTCAGCCCAACACAAAAATAGTAATCAACTCCACACTCCACTCACACATAGCTAGGCACCTGCTCTGACCAGTGCCTCCCTGCAGGTGTATGCTGGGAGCTGGGTGGACCTGGAGGCAGTGATCAAGTGTCAGCTGGACGACGGCCCTCGATACGACTTAACGAACGAGCCGCGCAGAGAGATGGCCTCCTACGACAAGCCGCCCAAAGGCACCTCTGTGGAGAAGTTCAGAGAGATGATCTACCACCATCTCAAGGTCAGAAAATAGAATTGATTCAAATCATGAACAGCTGAATGATTCAACATCAGTTTCAACTTTTGTTTCATCCAAGTTTACCAAGAAAAGTGCACTTTACATGTCTGTTAAGAAGGATCAGGGTGGGAGATTGCTGGGAATTCCATATGCTCTAGAGGCCAGACTGCATTGATAATGATGCAACACATGTTGTGGAAAACTAGCGCCACAGCTGCCCTCAAGAAGGCGAGGCTACTAATCTGTGCCATCAGCCCCTCTGAGCACTACCAATCACTCACACACACTTCAGTGATGGGAGACTTTACAGCGGTCTCCCATCACTGAAGTCCTGCTTAGATTCTGAGATCTGACAGTATGCTTTTCACATTGTTAAGTATAGACGTATTAGTGTTGGGGGTGGTCTTGGACTCTAGGACAGCTGTGGCTACCATACTGAGTGAAAAGTGCAATGTAAAAGCGCTTTGGTTTTGATGTATAATTGTTAATCTAATTTGACTTTCCTATTCAACTCCTCAGGCCAAACTTGGGGAACAGCCCAACCTCTTAGATCTGGCGACCCAAGTCCTGTCTATCGCAGACGCCAACAAAGACGGGCACATCTCTCTTCCCGAGGCTCGTTCCACCTGGGCCCTTCTCCAACTCAATGAGTTCCTCCTGGCCTTGGTTCTGCAGGACCGTGAGCACACACCGAAGTTACTGGGCTTTTGCGGAGACTTGTATGTCATGGAAAAAGTCCCTTACTCCCCTCTTTACGGCATTACGTTACCTTGGATTTTTGAAGTTTGGATCCCCACAGGTCTACGCAGACGCATGGACCAATGGTTTACCCCATCGTGGCCACACAAGGCTAAAATCTCCATCGGTTTACTGGAGTTGGTGGAGGACGTCTTCCATGGAAGCTTTGGCAGCTTCCTCATGTGTGATTTAAGTGCTGGTACCTTTGGCTACACTGAAAGACATGATTTTAAGGTGATAGATGCTCGCTACATTGTGCCAGAAAATACGTTCCAAGAAAGCATAAGACTTCAGAGGTGTGATGCCGACGAAGATTGCGTTTATGGGGCGGACTGTGGGACTTCCTGTGATCTCACAAAGAATAGGTGCACTACTGATTTAGCAAGACCAAACTTGGCCAAAGCCTGCGAAGCACTTAAAGACTACATACTTAGAGGAGTGCCATCAGATGTGAGAGAAGAGCTGGAAAAGCAATTGTATGCCTGCATCGCTCTCAAAGGGACCACTGAACAAATGGAGATCGAGCACTCGCTGATCCTCAACAATCTCAAAACGCTGCTGTGGAAGAAAATCTCACACACCAAAGACTCATAATTATAGAATTTGCACATTTTTGTCCCATTTCTTCCAGGATCAGAGACTTATAACCAGTATGTGTAATGTAAGAACTGCTCATTGGAAGGAAGTATTTTAAGTAAAAATTTTTATGAATGCCAGTTTACAAGCTCTATATTATAATCATGTTTTGTTTATTATTGTGAGGACAATAAAGTTTGTTCTTTAATCAAAGAGTCCTCAATATAACTATTCTATGAAACTTTAAACTGTAAGGTCTGTTTTAATAAATCCAAGTGCGTGCTTTCAGAATATGGTCTGTTAATGAAATTTAGACATGATCACCATGTTCTAGTGAATTATTAATTTGTTACACCAAAATGCAAATGAATGTATTTGATAAAGTTTATCACAACTCAACCATGTGAAATACCCAGCATTCTAACTTCAGCCCATACACCTTGGACCTATAACCACACATCAGTATTCTTCCAGTGATTACAGTAGAATGCAGACTTGACAGCTGTCAAACCTAACACCTTTGTTCACTCAAGGCTGTATATACACAGCAGGAAGTCAATTTACTCTGAAATGCTATCTTTACAAATGCTGCAGTTTGCACAGCAGAAAGATCTTACAAATTATATTAAGCCATTAAGATGAAAGTTATTGTAGTTAACTACTTACAATACTTGATATGTAAATAGAAATAGCTTGAATTTAAGGACTTCAGTATAAAGAATCCGATAAGACAGGAGAGTGCCATCTTGTGGTCAACTAGATAAAGAAAAATTACCAAAGTAATTCAGTGACTCAAGATAATTTAGTAGATTGTTAAAATTCATATGTATACTTATAATTGTACATGTTACAATAGCCACTTTATTCCATGGAGCCATATACAACATGGGGAGTTGGCCATATGCATCTCAAGGTGGCGAGTTCAAGCAGGAAATGGCTGACAACTCAAGTGGTGTTTTCAATAGATTTATTAGAACAAATTCCGTGTTTAGAACAGGGCCAGACTGAAGCCTCAGTCCTCCTCCTGTTCCTGAGCCCGGAGGAAGCTGGCCTTCTTCTGGGCGACACGGTCTTTCCTCTGCTGGAGGGATAGCTTGGCACGGTTCCACCTGTAAACAGATTAGAGATGAGACAAAAAACAAACTAGATTCCCTCTGCATTAGTGAAGAGTCTACAAAATCTTTCAATGAGTTGTGGGATTCAACAGAATTTGTAAACCACTTAAGGCACATGTAAACCTGCAGTCCTGGCAGAATATTTCCAACAGTTATATCAATATAAAGCAAATAGTAACTGAAGGAACAGTGAGTCTGAAGGTTCTGTCATTTATATCTAAACACGTGTTGCCAACTTTCCTACACATGTCACTTGCTCATTTTAAGGCCACACTTATAGACTAGTAGTTCATGTAGTCGGCTGCCATTGTCAGATATGGCCTGGGGGGAGCAAAAAAGGTTCCAAGTCTTGTAATGATGCGGGTTCTTTTCTCCAATTAGATACTTCCACATGATAAATTAGAATCATACATTTACTGTTGCCCCTACACTTTTATCTAGAGGGCTTAAATATGTATTAAAATTAAGCATTTGTTCCTTTAAACTATCGTTAATGTAGACCACCAAAATCTTTAGGAACATTTCTCCCATCACAAGAGGTGCACATCTTTCTAAACTAGTGGTTCCGTTCCTACCTCTTCTTTTTGACTTCTTTGAGGGGCTTCTTTTCATGGACAGGGTTCTCGCGAATAGAAGCATGAGCCTTTTTGTACATCTCCTCGATCTGAAAAAAAAAAAAAAAAAGTCAAAGTAGCAATACTGATAAACACCTAAACAATCGAATTCTTTGTGGCAAGTCTTAGTAAAGTACTTATAGAACATAAACTTGATAAATAACATTTTATAAGAGCAACAAGTCAAACCATTTGCTGAAGTTAACCTTTTAACCCCAATGTCAGTTATGTCAGTTCGGGAACTATGCAGTCCAAACAAATCACTATACTCAGGTTTTACTTTAGGCCTCTGATGACTAAGAATATCTATGGGAAATGCAAAGTATTATGTTCTTCCAAAACCTATGGGCACAACAGCTAAAATTCCCCTTTCACAGCAAAGAAACTGATTACTGAAACAGAATATTCAATTTAATTTAATTTGAGCCAGAAGGTCGTGGGTTCAAGCCCCGCTCAAGACTTTCACCATCGACTCCCACTGTCTGCTGTTGTGTCCTTGGCAAGACACTTAACCTCTGGGAACACCAGCCAAAGTGGGGCGGCTGCGGCTGTAAAGTGCCAAACTGCCGTTGTGTCCTTAGGCAAGACACTTCACCCCCATTGCCTGGAATGAGTCTGGTGTGTGTGTGTGAATGGTTGGTGGTGGTCGGAGGGGCCGATGGCGCATACTGGTTGCCTCGCTTCTGTCAGTGTGCCCCAGGGCAGCTGTGGCTACAGTAGTTTATCACCACCGTGTATGGAGTGAATGAATAATGACACATGTGAAGCGTCTTTGAGTGTCCAGAAAAGCGCTATATAAAACCGATGCATCATCATCCATCGAAAGGGCCTGGCAATGCACATTTAAAGATAGAATGTGCATGCAGCTTCTTTTGGGTTTCGTAACAATTGCTAAATAAAAACATCACATGCAAGATTTGAGACAGGCTTGTTTACAGTGATAGATTTGAAAACCACTCACAGATTCTGGGGTGACTCCATTCTTGATGAAGCGGGAGAACTGCTTCTTGTATGCCTCCTCATCCTCCTCCATGAGATAGCTCATGTACTCCGACACATTGATTCCAAGGATGTGTTTGCGATGAACCTCTGCGTTGAACTCCTTGCTCTCGGTGTCGTACCCAGGGAACCGCTTAGTGCTGTGGAGACAAAGACTCATTACTTATCCCTTCAAGCATGTCACATATTGAAGGACCACCACATTTGTAGAAGTCTCATAAGGCATCAATGTCAAAACAAATTTAGATTAGGAATGTTATACATGCAAGACAAAAGTTACATTTGGCCAGTAAGCGCTTTAAAGTGAGCTGGAGAGACCTGCTCTGAGGCAGGACCACTGCTCATCCACTTCTGGGATCAGTTTTTTGGAAGCAGGGATTGACATTACCACAGGCCCTTAGAGGAAGATATGAACAAAACTGGGATCAACCGTGGGTCCTGCATTAATGCAAATAATGGATGATCTGTTCTGTGACTAACGATGCTTCACTGGACTATGCAGAATCAGCCCTTTGTAGGAGGTAAGCAGGAGTCTACTGGGTGGCATAGAGTTAGTATTTAAGCAATAGAGCCAAAATATAGAAAACTCACTCCTACAGTCAACCAGACTTCGGTGCTTCCCAAGAAGAACCAGGCCTTTGCGTATGGAAACATAGTTTTCAGTAAGCGCCTTTAATATGCATCAGTTCTGCGCTCTACCATAGTTATTTTAGCTTTTTTTCTACCCGAGATGTTGCTACATTACGGCCTCATGGTTTTGCACTGGTCCAAACCAGGGCGGAGAGGACTCATGGTTTGAACCAAGCGGATCAGCCGAAAAGCCACTGGAGGAATACCAAGTTTTTGAAAAATGCTAATTAAGCATTCAGCATTTTACTTTGGACTAGAGCAGAGAAAAATGGTCTGAACCAAGCGGCTACTCCACCTCTGCTGCTTTGACCTAACGTGCTGTTGCATTTTAATACCATTTAGAATGATTGTTTTGTATAGATTGACGAGTTTCTACTGGATACCTGAATTTCTCCTACAGTGGGAACATTGACGTATCTTGTGTGAAAATGTTTCAAGGCAGTATACGCCTTGTACAGTTTGAATGAGATTTTCCATCCATCCATTTTCTTCCGCTTTATCCGTTGCCGGGTCGCGGGGGCAGCAGTCTAAGCAGAGACGCCCAGACTTCCCTATCCACACACACTTCCTCCAGCTCGTCCGGGGGGACCCCAAGGCGTTCCCAGGCCAGCTGAGAGACATAGGTCCCTCTGGAGTGGACTAGGTCTTCCGCGGGGCCTCCTCCCGGTGGGACGTGCCCGGAACACCTCCCCAGGGAGGCGTCCAGGAGGCATCCGGAACAGATGCCCGAGCCACCTCAACTGGTTCCTCTCGACGTGGAGAAGCAGCGGCTCTACTCCGAGCTCCTCCCGTGTGACTGAGCTCCTCACCCTATCTCTAAGGGAGCGCCCAGCCACTCTGCGGAGGAAGCTCATTTCGACCGCTTGTATCCGCGATCTCGTTCTTTCGGTCATTACCCAAAGCTCATGACCATAGGTGAGGGAGGGAACGAAGATTGACCGGTAAATCGAGAGCTTTGCCTTTCGGCTCAGCTCCTTCTTTACCACAACAGTCCGATACAGCGACCGCATCACTGCGCACGCTGCACCGATCCGCCTGTCAATCTCACGCTCCATTCTTCCCTCACTCGTGAACAAGACCCCGAGATACTTGAACTCCTCCACTTGAGGAAGGACCTCTCCACCCACCTGAAGAGGGCAGGGCACCTTTTTCCGGTCGAGCACCATGGCCTCAGATTTGGAGGTGCTGATTCTCATCCCAGCCGCTTCACACTCGGCTGCAAACCGTCCCAGTGCATGCTGCAGGTCCTGGTTCGTTGGAGCCAACAGGACAACATCGTCCGCAAACAGCAGAGATGAAATCCTGTGGTCCCCGAACCGGACCCCCTCCGACCCCTGGCTGCGCCTAGATATTCTGTCCATAATTACAGTGAACAGAACCGGTGACAAAGGGCAGCCCTGTCGGAGGCCAACATTCACCGGGAACAGGTCTGACTTACTGCCGGCAATGCGAACACAGCTCTGGCTCCGGTCATACAGGGACCGGATGGCCCTCAGCAGAGGACCCCCGACCCCGTACTCCCGGAGAACCCCCCAAAGGACACCCCGGGGAACACAGTCGAACGCCTTCTCCAAATCCACAAAGCACATGTGGACAGGTTGGGCGAACTCCCATGAACCCTCGAGTATCCGATGGAGAGTATAGAGCTGGTCCAGTGTTCCGCGACCGGGACGAAAACCACACTGCTCCTCCTGGATCCGAGATTCGACCATCGGCCGTAGCCTCCTCTCCAGTACCTTGGAGTAGACCTTACCGGGGAGGCTGAGGAGTGTGATCCCACGATAATTGGAACACACCCTCCGGTCCCCCTTCTTGTAGAGAGGGACCACCACCCCGGTCTGCCACTCCATTGGCACCGCCCCCGATCGCCACGCGATGTTGCAGAGACGTGTCAGCCAAGACAGTCCTACAACATCCAGAGACTTTAGATAATCAGGGCGGATCTCATCCACACCCGGAGCCTTGCCACCATGGAGGCTACCAACCACCTTGGTGACCTCAGCCAGGGAGATGGATGTATCCGCCCCAACATCCTCAGCCTCTGCCTCTGAAACAGAGGACGTGACGGGGGGATTGAGGAGAACCTCAAAGTATTCCTTCCACCGCCCGACAATATCCCCAGTCGAGGTCAGCAGCTCTCCACCCGCACCGTACATGGTGTTGGCAAAGAACTGCTTCCCCCTCCTGAGGCGCCGGACGGTTTGCCAGAATTTCTTTGAGGCCGACCGATAGTCATGCTCCATGGACTCTCCGAACTCCTCCCAGTCCCGGGTTTTTGCCTCTGCAACGGCCCGGGCCGCGGCACGCTTGGCCTGCCGGTACTGGACAGCTGCCTCAGGAGTCCCCCGAACCATCATGGCTCGATAGGACTCCTTCAGCCTGACAGCATCCCTTACTGCCGGTGTCCACCACCGGGTTCGGGGGTTGCCGCCGGGACCAGCACCAGAGACCTTGCGACCACAGCTATGAGCCGCCGCATCGGCGATTGAGGCAGAGAACATGGTCCACTCGGACTCCATGTCCCCCTCCTCCACCGGGACCTGGGAGAAACTCTCCCGGAGGTGTGAGTTGAAAGTCCGTCTGACAGGGGGCTCAGCGAGACGTTCCCAGCAGACCCTCACTATACGCTTGGGTCTGCCAGGTCTGACCGGCTTCTTCCCCTGCCAGCGGATCCAACTCACGACCAGGTGATGATCGGTTGACAGCTCCGCCCCTCTCTTTACCCGAGTGTCCGAGACACGCGGTCGAAGGTCAGATGATACGACAACAAAGTCGATCATCGACCTCCGGCCTAGGGTGTCCTGGTGCCACGTGCACTGGTGGACACCCTTGTGCTCGAACATGGTGTTCGTGATGGACAAACTGTGACTGGCACAGAAGTCTAACAACTGAACACCGCTCGGGTTCAGATCAGGGGGGCCGCTCTTCCCGATCACCCCTCTCCAAGTGTCACTGGCGTTTCCCACATGGGCGTTGAAGTCCCCCAGGAGAATAACGGAGTCCCCGGGCGGTGCACCGTCCAGTACCCCTCCCAAGGACTCCAAGAAGGCCGGGTACTCTGCACTGCTGTTAGGCCCGTAGGCCGTCACAACAGTGAGAGACTTATCCCCCACCCGGAGGCAGAGGGACGCGACCCTCTCATTCACCGGGGAGAACTCCAACACGTGGCGGCTGAGATGGGGGGCAATGAGAATGGCCACCCCAGCTCGCCGCCTCTCCCCGCGGGAAACACCAGAAAAGTGGAGCGTCCAACCCCTCTCAAGGAGTTGGGTTCCAGAGCCCAAGCTGTGTGTGGAGGTGAGGCCGACTATCTCTAGTCGGTATCGCTCAACCTCCCCCACGAGCTCGGGCTCCTTCCCCCCCAGTGAGGTGACGTTCCACGTCCCAAGAGCCAGCTGTTGTGTGTGCGGACTGGGTCGTCGAGGTCTCCGCCTTCGACCGCTGCCCAGTCCTCTCTGCACCGTTTCGCCACCACGGACCCCTCTGCGGGTGGTGGGCCCACAGGAGGGACTGCCCACGTCGTCCATTCGGGCTAAGCCCGGCCGGGCCCCGTGGGCTAAGGCCCGGCCACCAGGCGCTCGCCTACGAGCCCCGACCCCAGGCCTGGCTCCAGGGTGGGGCCCCGGCTGCGCCATGCCGGGCGACGTCACTGATTTCTTTTGAGTGCTGTCCATGGTGTCTTCTGGACTGCTCTTTGTCTGACTCGTCACCCGAGACCTGTCTGCCATGGGAGGCCCTACCAGGGGCATGAAGCCCCAGACAGCATAGCTCCCAGGATCATCCGAGTACTCAAACTCCCCCACCACGTTAAGGTGGCAGTCCAGGGGGGAAAATGAATGAGATTTTTTTCAACAATTATTAAGCTGCTTTTATAGTGATGACTGGAGTCATGCCGAGATCAACAGAACCACGTCCAAGATTACAGTTCTGATCAATACTACAATAGGGCAAAAATGTTACTTTTAAAAATGTTAGGTGAGAAATGTGACCCTTTAAATGCCATTTCCGTGATTTGTCAAGCTGTTAAGAAAAACTTCGGACTTGAGCTCTGCAGCAGTAAGCCAACACCTAAAGCCTAGCGTACATCGACAGAAACTGGGGACAACTAGTTGCAAGGCGGCTTTTGGCAACTGAGAGAAGATGGGAGATGATCAGTTGCCGAAATCGGTCGATGTGCGCGCTCTTACAACTGGAGATGATCAGTCGGTCTCCAGTTTCAGTCAGTTGCCCGTGTTCTACTTTTCGGCAACTAGTTGTCCTCAGTTTCGGAGATATGACCCGATGTGCGTGCTCCATGCGCCGCTCCGACAACGTGTGTGTATTGCGAGCCCGCAACAGTTTGTCAGAAAACACTGTAGTTGAGGCCAGTTGCTGTCCATGTACGCGCTGTTATTCCCGAGACTGGTCTGATACTGGGAGTTGCCCGTTTTCGTCAGATTGTCGATTTGTGCGGGGCAGCAACTCGTATGCGACGGATATAATCAGTTGCCAGTCCGATGTACGCTAGGCCTTATCTTCGGCATTTAAAAATGTATTTAACCTCTTAACACCCGCCTCATTTTGGCTTCTGCACAAAAGTTGGGCATACCCAAATGTCTGCTTATTTAAAAACACATCTTACATGCTTGTGTGATGTATCATTTTAAAGCTAGAGCCTTCTAGTTTATGTAAAAAAAAAACACTAAAATAATGTTTGTCATTCCCATTTCCCTCTGCATCCTTTTAAGTTTGGGAAAAAAACCCAATTTTTTTTAGCCTCGCCTAACATTTTCAATTTCTAAAGACCCTAAAAAAGGCATACTTCATTGTAAGTTCACAATATTCAAACCCTGTGGTCATTGTGTTGTTGACAACAACTGTCTAAAGTTTCAGACTTCTAAGTTTTATAGTTTTTATGCAGTTTCTCCTTTTCATCAAGTAGTGCACATTTGGTGTGGGGGAAAGGCAAAGCTGCATTTCCGCAAACAGTGAAAAGCAGCGTCCGTGCCGTTTCAATTTTTTTTCTCGCCAAAAATAAATGCTCGTTTTTGGATGATTTCTGCACAATGGATTATACTTTGGGAAACACAAGTGGATTTCTGTTTTCCATGGACAGTTATGGAGAGAATAAGCCATAGCAAGCTGGGAGGAGAGCTGATTTATTTATGTAGTACACGGAAAATGGTAAGAAACTTTTTCGGAGCTGATTCATTTTGTTCCCATATTATGTGTTATATCTTTTGAATGCAATGTCTGATATTACTGACACTTGTATATAATTGTAAATACGAAAATAAGCTTTAAAATGACATACAGCTTTTGAGGTTTGGTGTTCAAAATGCATCTGTTATTGCTGGTTGAACATTTTAAAAACAATAACGGCACGCCGGTTGCTGTAAAGAGGTTAACAGTTTTTGTCCCTGTAGTATTTTTGTATGTTTGTAGTAACCGAGGCACGGTTAATATAAACATACAAAAATACTGCGTTGTATCTCTGAAAGTCAGCAAAGTGAAAACTGCGGACTGTCAGCAGTGTTTGTGGCAGAGGCTATGTAGGCTAATGCTAACGTATTTCTTCCATTCCTTTTTAGGCATCCTCCTAAAAATGAGAAAAATACATTGTAGCAAATTAGAAACTTCATAAGTTCTCCATTTGCTTCGAGCAGGTTCAACAACTGTACATGCCACAGCACTCTTAATAGGGAGATTTACTTCCAGACTTGTGCAGCAGCATGATGTCAGCTGCAACCCAGCAATATACATTGGTTGTGGTTATCAGCCCAATTTTACTCATGGTCCGATGCCATTAGGTTAAAAATGATTGGCCAATAGATATATCGTGCATGCCTACAAAATATTGTGTCCATGTGCCACTTGACTGATACTTTATCTAGCGCTGATACTGTAATCTAATTGGAAGTCAAAACTAGTTTTGAATCTGCATCCTACTGTTCTATACCTTGTAATGCAACACTGAAATATCCCCACCATGGGACGAAGCAAACTAACACAACAAGGATCTCTTAACCTTAATAAAAAGACTACAGAATTTGCTTCAGGTAAGTTCCATTTAGGTCATTTACCTGTAGATACAACGGTGTAGATTTATGCTGGATCTTCGCTTTCAAATTACTGGGAAGGATAATTCTCAGCTTTAAAAAAAGTGACTTTGAGACTAACATGTTCCAAGACATTGCATATCATATGAATGTGTCGACACAGAGCAACACAACGCGACACCCTCAATTGCAACAGGTGCAAATTTGCACCTTCACAGTTCTGTACAATTAGCATTTACCATTGAAATGAGGCCTAAACAATGTGTGATTGGTGACACTTTGGATGTTGCAACCAAGTTTGAGCAGGGGTTTAATTACAAATGCCCATTACCCTGTGTTCTGGGTGCTTGGAGCCAACATGAAGAGTTTTAAGTCTACTCCATCTGCATGAAAATGTTGTGCAATATAATGTGTAATGGAAATGCAACCACCAAGGTTATAGTACATAATCCGCAAACTGAAATTTAAATCACAGATTACATTTAAGTAACTGTTGAATGCTCACCTGTGTGGGATGGACAGGCCGCCGTCGACTGCCCCCTTCAGGGCACCGAACACTTTGTTTCCGGTGGTGGTTCTTGCAAGGCCAGCATCCAGGTAACAGGTGAAGGCACCGGGTTGGCCGTCAATGCTCTCTACGTTGAATTCATCTCCAGTCACCTCCACTTGGCCATCGTACACTTTGTCCAGGCCAAACTTGTTCAGCAGCTGGGAGAAAAACCAGAGTTCAGTGTTCAGATTCAGCTAAAGTGAGGCATAACATACTAATCACTTTAATACAAATTGGTTTAATATTGGAGATTAGCAAAAACTACTGCTATAGCTGCACAAGGCTATCCTTTTAAGATAACACTTAAAATTAGTCAACCATCAGTTTACTTTCATAAAAAAAATATATTTCAACTATAGCCTATTGTCCCAGCTGGATGCATTGTCATCTTATGATAAACCTAAACGGGGAAGCAGCCTCCATCACAACCAAATGAAAAATGCCATTTGAGAGTCAAATATAAAATATTACCAACAAACATTTCCACAACACCAAAGAGCTCGGCAATGTGGCACGGGATTATTATAGTGAGTCTTAGACTAAATGCCTCAATCCAAATTTGACTACATTTAAAAATGAATTTACAATTTCCAACTGAAACAAACATTGACTTTCTGTTTGATATACAGAAAAACTTACTCTGCGGGCAAGCAGCAGACCAGTGCAGTAAGCAGCTGCATAGTTGGTCAGACCCACAGCGATGCCGTACTTTGGCAGCTCATGAGAATAAGCAGCACAAACGATGACATCTCCTTCGATCTTGGCGTAAGCAATCTGCAACATAACAAGTACTCATTCAGCTCATGTGGGTTTGACAGCCGACAGTCACTGCTGGAAATCCTATCAATGTCCACAAATGCCAAACCGTACCTGGCACACAATATCCCTGTTGGAGAAGCGTACAATCATGCGGTATTTGGGGGTATTGTACTTGTTTTTGTCCTGGACGACAAGACGCTTCCTGGCAAAGAAGTCAGTTTTTCCCTCTATATGGCAAAGAGAAAAGTGAGCATTTCATAAAGATTACAGTGAAATCAATTAATCAACTCTGTGCTTACCTCTCCTCCTCCTGAACTTGACCTGATATCTCTTGAAGTAGGCCTTATTTTTTACCACTTTTACAAAACCCTGAAAAAAAAAAAAAAAAGACAATATTTAGATTCAATTACACTAGCCATAACGTCACACGAGCAGGATAAGACACTTGCTTTAGCTTTCACTGTCATTTAAATAGCATGCACAAGTCAATGGACTCCTGTGATAGGACATGCACATAGCACAGCAGCTAACTGATTTTCCGTGTCAAAATAAGATAAGTTTACGACTCGTTCACACAATGTGGGATCCGGATAAACAAGGCCACTTGAGAAAGACATTGAAACGGGGCAGAAGAATGATATAGTGCGACTTGCAAACAGGAAATGAGAATAATGTGGGGTACGTATAGGCCACGTTAGACAGAACCGGCGAGCATTAGCATGGCACAATCTAACTTCATCTGAGCAACATCTGCATCGTTAGCCATGCATTTCCCCACAGGACAAGCAGCGCAGGTTTAAGTTTCATGTCAAGGCTCATATTGGGGCGGATTACAAACCATTTTGCAGTATTTTAGTCTCCTTATGAAGGAGCCCGGAGTCAGGGACAAGGGCCAGACTCCGCTGCACTGGAAAAAGGAAGTATTCAGTGCGCATGCTCCGTAAATACCGTGTGACAGGATGGAGATGTCATTACTGCAGAGGAGGTCTGCCGTCTATCGAGCAGGCGAGGCCTCTGCAAAAACAAACATGGAATTAATTAATTAAAATACAATGAGGCATATGCAGAGCTTACAGTTGATTGTGTTAGTGTGTGTTTACTGTGTTAACAAATGTTGATATTGTGTGTTATGTATTTTTTCTGATTCTGAGTCCGTAATAAAAGCTTGATTCATTCACTAATTACTGGGACAAAATGTGATATTTTTGTATTACTATATACAATATTAATGTTTATCTTATATAACTGAGTTATGACATTAAGTTACTTCAGAACACTAATTAGCTAATTAGTGTTCAGAACACTAATTATATTTATGTGTTTAAGGACACAGAAAGTTAAAAGAACAGTGAGACAGTGAGAAAACAAAGCAAATGTGCGTGTAAAGGCCTACATTCATTAAACTTGAGTTACTTTGATGAAAACAAGATATACAAGACTGATTTTCAGTTTTTTAAATAAGTTACACTTCTGAGTTAACTCCAAAATGGAATTTATTATTTTGATATATTACAAAAGTAAGTAGTGGTAAGTAATAAGTAGTAGTTATATACAGTGTATGATCCACAAGTGACTTATCCTTGACTCAAGTGCAATTATACCTCCAGAGTTTATCCAGAGAGACCTTATGATTTTATAAATAATAGCTCTTGTTTGATGTATTTCTCATTGAGGGACAAACAAAAAAGTTTATATTGTCTTGTGTTAATCTTATCCTATTCCTTTTACATCTAAACACCACATTGGATTTTAATATGGTGTCAATAGGTGGATTTCTGAGCAACGTCACAGGAAAGTTTTCCTCTGAATGTTGGTAAACATGAAATCCATCTATATATTGTGATTAATTTGAACACAAATACATAACAAAAGTACATTGAAAACATTTTATACTGTAAAAAAAGGAGCAAAAATGAAGAAAACGGCACCAGTAGTTAATGCTTGTGCTTCAGAGCAAGAAGGTCTGTGTTTACTTTGCACGTTCTCCCCATGTCTACGTAGGTTTTCTCCAGGTGCTCCGGAGATGGAAATGTGTCTGACCTCGGTCTGTGAAATGTACTATATAAATAAAGATTACTTACTTACTTAAGATCAACTTTCAAAGTACATTGCTCAAACTAAAGCAGCGCGATGAAAGAAACTGATTGTATCGTCCTGCAACGTCTTAACATCCTTCATCTAATTGACTTATGTATTTTCCTTTTTACATTAGATTAGATGTTCTCTGCATTTCACCCATCGTTCAGTGTCACTGGGGGGACGTTTCAGAAGTGGTTGCTGCAGCGCTAACAGAGCCAGAGGCTTAAGGCAAACTTCACTGGAGGATTTCCCCTGACGGCCCATGTCTTGTGTTGATAGAGGTGATCCACCCAGAGTAGAAACTTACAAACCATGAAGGAAAAGAGTCAAGATCCAGACTGAACCTACAAGCTTCAGGCTGTTATGCATGAGTGGATGTTGAAGAAACAATAATATCATACAACCTACTGCAACTTTTGCATTCGCACGTCATTTTCTTCACTTTTGATTTGCAATCATTTCGGAGCTGCTTTAATAACGTTCTTATTCTATATTTTATTATAGATCCAACAAGCTGTCAAAACAGTAAGAAAAAAACAATCATTTGTGTTTTTGTGTGTGAAAATCCCCAATAATAACATTGTAGCAGCACGTGCCGCCAGTGGTTAGCACTTGTGCCTCACAGCAAGAAGGTCCTCGGTTCAATTCCATCTCCAGAGCATTCTGTGTGGAGTTTGTCTGTGTTGGTCTCCTCCGGGTGCTCCGGTTTCCCCTACCGCAAAGAATAAGTACAATAGGTCTGGCATGGGCCTTCTGTATGGTGACCTCCATCTCTGTGAGGAGTGAGAGACAAATGGCCAAAAAACTAATTTACAGAGCTTTGTGACCCTGGTCTGTGAAAAGCACTATATAAATAAAGATTACTTACTTACTAATTACTATTATACTATTATACTATTACTAATTACTATTCAATAGGGGATTTACCTGTTCATTTACCTTAATGACACAACTGAAGTCAAACTCTGAGGCTGGCTGTTAATATTCATCTTGTAACTGTTCTCAAATCTCTTAATTGTTTTGACAGAGCCCACAGTCTCCATGCCTCCCTATAACGTCACAGATTCAAACACAGCTGATAATACAAAAAGAGGAGTGTTCCACAATAGGTCTGCGTCACGCCTCGAGGTCCAACCTGAAAAGTAGGTTTATGACTGGCTGGTATGTGATTCACACGACTTAAAACCCTTTTCATTATGTATTATATAACAGAGTTTCTGTTGAGGAAACCAAGAATAGTGTTGATGCTGCATTTGTGGAGCTCTGTGACAGTAGGGTAAAACACTGTCCTCTTTAGCATACTAAATTCAAAGTTATTGATTTGATCCAATTTAAATTATTTTGGATCGTTGGACTCACACAACAGGAATGCATTTCAGGTAAGCATTTGACACAGCTTTGTTTTTGGCAATAATAAGCTACGTTATAGGCAAACAGTATATAGAGCTTATTCAATGTACAGTACATTATTTTTTTTTACAACCCTGTGTACAGACTACATACGCACATACATACACACACACACACACACCCATGCACACTCACACACACATATGCACATACACACACGCACACACACACACTCGTTCATTTTGGTGAAAACAAATACAAACGCAAACTTAATTTTTATTGTCATTATTGTCACTTTATCTACTTATCCTGCCCTATATGTGTATAACTTAGCACTATATATAGGGAGAAACCAAGAAACACAGCAGCTACTTACAGTATATTGTATATTTTGTGTACTCCCTGTGTGCTCTTACTACTGTATGTGCGCTGCAACATTGAAAGTTTCCCAATGTGGGACGAATAAAGGTTCTCTTATCTTATCTTATGTGGATACAATAGAGACTGATGTGACTGAATGTTCTAGCTATGTCAATGGGACAAGACATCAAAAATTATTTGAACTCGCACCAAACAGATAACAGATAACAGATGTATTTTGGCTAATAAAGGCCTCATTTGTCCTGAATGGGTTTCATAATAAAGTGTAATAATTAGTGAATTTGAACATGTTTTTGTTGTTGTTGCTGATACTTAACAGCTTCCATCATAAAAAATTGGCTTTGCATGTTCTACTTGTGACCTCATCTGGCAGAAAGTGCTGGCCATGGTGCTGCCACACAACAGTCACATACTGTATGTGTTCATGTCCATATCATTTACAGACATAATTAACCAGTGTCTATGCATGATGTTTTTAAATTTTGGGAGGTAATTAGACTTCAGACAATTCTATATGCTGTTTATATATACCCCCGCTGGAACATGTACCCCATTTTGAGAAACCCTGGATATGCTTGTATTGAGGCAAAGACATTGTTGAAATCATCACTTTTCACCGGACACAGGGGCCCATCAAAGCCCTTGACCATCGCCATCTATTCACTCACTCATTACATTCATTCCTATCATACACGTTTTTAGCGGTAGGGGAAACCGAAGCTCCTGGAGGAAACCTACACAGACATAGGGAGAACATGCAAACTCCACACAGAAAGAGCCACTTGCCCTGGGAGCCCTTTATAACATCAGCTTTTCTTAGATAGAAAAGTGACTTGAAACGGCCATCCACTCTCAGCCAATACCGCTCACAGATCAAAGAGTCAAATAGTGACCAACAGGGGGCCACCTCACAGTTATGCAAAATATTACACATTTTAGATACAAATCAGCATGTTGTGGTCTCATTTGTTTACATTATTGTACTTTTTCAAGACTCTCGGTCAAACAACACTGCTACCTAAAGTGCCAGCTTTAAGTACCTACGACTTGTACTTCTTGCCACCTCTGCGTGATCACGACAGTTTCATAAAAATAACAGTCTGACGTTTACAGACAGTGAACTCTACGTGGCACTGTCGCCCTTGTTGATTCCAGTGGCGCATGCGCAGTGGGATGTAAACACCACTTGAGGCCCGCGCACAGTCCTCGCGGCTCCTCGCTCTCTCTCCCCGGCTTGAGCTGCTCTCCTCACGGCCACTGCTCGGGCTGGACCCCGGCGAACACTCCCACGGGATACAGCTCGAGTGGATTTGTTATCGAAGGATGCGAAGTACTTTGTTTGTGGATTAGTTTTTGTACAGTTTGGGGAAATACAGTTTTCGTGTATGGAAAGCGGAGGATCAAGGCTGTGGCTGAGTAAACGCGATTCAAGGTAATGGATGTTGCTTTGTGACTTTGTCGGGGCCGTCTGTAATTGTTTGGGAGTAGTTTGACACTTTTTGCACTTGAACTATATATTTGACACTCCTTGTAAGACTAGACTTTTCCATGTCGCCCGCTGTGTTGACTTTTGTTTAGTTTTCTTACCATTTCTTGAACTTGCTGTCGGCTACGCTACTACTTGACTTCATCAACATACTGTAAAAACATCACTGCATTTGGTCCATACCTAAACCATGAAACAGTGAGGTATTTCTTTCTAAATTTGCCTAATATTCAAGAACTAAGACATTTAATTTTCTTTTCTTGACTGACACTGTTGCATTGCTCAACTTACATCTATAATTTAGCACAAGGCAAGAAAGCAAGCCATAAAAGGAACTTCTTCTTTCATCTCAAGCTAAGTTACATCCTCTCAAAATCAAGCTTTGAACCGTTTCTTTTAAAGTCATTGAGAATCATTTATTGGACTTCACAAAGGTTGCAATCTCTGTCTGTATTAAAGGCACAATAATGTAACTCTATATGAGTGAGTTAAGTGGTGTACTGCTCTCTTTTGTATCATATTCATAGTACTATCTGTTGTTCCCA